TTCGAACTTCTGCAACAACGGTTGCGCACCTGCCAGGGCCATCATCCCTGTCAAATAATACCATGCGGGACACATTCGTTTTTTCTTCGCGCGCGCACGCCGAAATCTTCAAAAACCATTGGGTTTCTTAGGAATTTTAGCACCGCGCAACATAAAATCATACGAATCGCACCGTAGGTCCTCGAAAAACATCTGTACGAATTTTCAAAATTTCTACCCGCGCGCGCTGTCCGAATCCTAAAAAAACCAATGGTTTTTCACGTTACCACCAAAAACCAGTACAGGTGTCCAGTGTTGGAACAGGGGGAAAAGTCGTATACTGAGCTAGCGTCCAAAAAATGTTACCACAACAAGTCACTGTACCCATGCGCCAGTGTAGTAGCCACGGTCGTCCGCAGGCCACGAAGTGAAGTGTCCGAACGTCATAGGGCGGGAAGCTGGGTGTGGGTGGTGGCGAAGAGTCGTTTGGAAATTTGGTAGAGCTTGAACCGGCCCCCCCACAAAGTGGGGGTATTGCCCGCCTCCTATGAAAACCCTGGCACTGGTGAGAACGGAGTGTCCCCACGTGCTAGTAATTGTTGTTGTTGTTGTTGTTGTTGTTGTTGTTGTTGTTGTTGTTGTTGTTGTTGTTGTGGTTGTGGTTTTGGTTGTTGTGGTAGTGGTTGTTGTTGTTGTTGTTGTTGTTGTTGTTGTTGTTGTTGTTGGTGAAATTAAGTGGTCATTTATAAAACATCATGGTTGTTGATCCCTCTCGCCCAGTGGCCATTGTATTTTTCAATTATAGTGTTTCTCGCGGGGCTCGCACGCTGTTTTTAGAAGGGAAATCGAGGTGTCACAAAACTGGGCCCTGGCCCCAGTATTACAACAATTGCGGGATGCATTATCAAATCGTGCTCTCGCGCACGACCACCTCACAATGTATGCATCAATCGCGCTCTCGCGTGGGACTATTCGCAATTTATTCTGTTGGAGAGGGTGTCTAGAGCTCCGACCACTTTATTCCGCGTCGCACACCCACCTCCCCCCGCCCCCCCCCCCCGCGTCCCCAGCTCAACAGTGGGACCCCCGTTCCGCGGCCCTCTGCCCCCAGCCCCCCCCGCGTCCCCAGCGCCCCAGCGGGAGTCCCGCCCATTGCCCCCTCCGCCACGAACGATTTATTCCGCGTCGCGACGCACCCCCCCCCCCACCTTCCTCCCCGCGTCCCCAGCGCCCCAGTGGGAGTTCCGCCCCGTGCCCCCCCCCCGCCCCCGCAATTGATTCTACGTCGCGACGCACGCCACCTCCCCCCCCCACGTCCCCGGCGCCCCAGTTGAACCCCCCCCGTCCCCAGCGCCAGAGTGGCAGAGTGGGACCCCCGCGCCGTGGCTCTCTGCCCCGAGCCCCCCCGCGTCCCCAGCGCCCAGCGGGAACCCCGCCCACTGCCCCCTCCGCCACGAACGCTTTATTCCGCGTCGCGACGCACACCACCTCCCCCACCTCCCTCCCCGCGTCCCCAGCGCCCGAGTGGGAGCCCGCCCCGTGCCCCCTCCGCCCCGAATTTTATTCCGCGTCGCGACGCACACCACCTCCCCTTCCCCGTCCCCAGCGCCCCAGTTGGACCCCCGCCCCGTGGCCTCTGCCCCAAGCCCCGCCCAGTGCCCCCTCCGGCCCCGACCATTTTATTCCGCGTCGCGACGCACACCACCTCCCCCATCCTCCCCCCCCGCGTCCCCAGCGCCCCGGTAGGAACCCAGCCCAGTCACCCCGAGCCCCGCCGCGTCCCCAGCGTTCCAGTATGAGCCCCGCCCGCAGCCCCTCCGCCACGAAAATTTTCTTCCGCGTCGCGACGCACACCACCGCCCCCCCCCCTCCTGCGTCCCCAGCGCCCCCCGTAGGAACCCAGCCCATCACCCCGAGCCCCCCCGCGTCCCAGCGCTCCAGCATGAGCCCCGCCCACAGCCCCCTCCGCCACGAACGTTTTCCTCCGCGTCGCGACGACACCACCTCCCCCACCTCCCCCCCCCCCCGGTCCCAGCGCCCCAGCCGGCCCGAGCCCAGCCCAGTTGCCCTTTCCGCCCCGACAGCTTTATTCCGCGTCGCGACGCACCCCCCGCCCGCCGCGTCCCCAGCTCCCCAGTGGAACCCCCGCCCGTGGCCCTCTGCCCCGAGCCGCCCCGCGTCCCCAGCGCCCCAATGAGATCTCCGCCCGTGCCCCCTCCGCCCCGAGCATTCTATTCCGCGTCGCGACGCACACCACCTCCCCCCCCCGCCCGCGTCCCCCGCGCCCCAGTGGGCGCCCGCCCCGTGGCCCTCCGCCCCGACTATATTATTCCGCGCCGCGACGTACACCACCTCCACCCTTCCCCCCCGCGCCCCCTGCGCCCCAGCGCCCCAGTGACCTGGTCGCCTGGGCCTGCCTTCTCGGCCTGCCCGCTATGGGTCTGCCCACCCGATCTGCCCGTCTGGTTCTACCACTTGTTTTCTGGTCCTTGCCCCCATCTTGCTAATGTCTCTCGTGCTTCATCCTTCTGCCTCCCCCGTCCACTTGTCCTCTCTTCCCCTGCTTTAGGGACTGCACTTCATGCGCGTGGCACGTAAGGAAGATACCCCCAAGGGGGTACGATCGAAGACGACGAAGGCAGGTACCGAGGGCTTGGGATATACGTATTGGTTGGCACGTGAGGAGATAGGGGTGTAGAGTCTTAAACTGATGGTTGTTGTGGTTGTGGTTGTGGTTGTGGTTGTGGTTGTGGTTGTGGTTGTGGTTGTGGTTGTGGTTGTGGTTGTGGTTGTGGTTGTTGTTGTTGTTGTTGTTGTTGTTGTTGTTGTTGTTGACTTCTCGATTCTAAATAATAGTCGTTGTTGTTTCCCCCCCCTCCGGGGCACATTGTGTTTTTAAATTGAAGTGCCTTTTCCAGGGGCTCGCGCCTTGTTTATTACAAGGGAAAGCGAGGTGTCACCAAATTGGGCCCCTGGTCGCCGAGTTATAACAACAATTTCTCCCGCATGATACTTCCTCACAAGTTATTTCAACATCGCACTCTCGCGCGGGACTTCCTCACAGGTTATATAGGAATCGCGCCCTCGCGTGGGACTTCCTCCAAATTTATTCAGACGCCGCTCCCTCGACATTCGGGAATCGCGCTCTCGCTGTGGCTTTGCTCACGATTTGTTTGGAAATCGCGCTGTCGCTCGAGCTTTCCTCGCGATTCATACAGCTTTCCCGCTTCAGCAACACGCCTGCTCGATGTCCGCTTAGGCCCGAATTCCCGAACCGCCCATTAGGCTCTATCCGCCCGATGGGCCCGTCTGGTTTTGCCACGTGTTTTCTGCTCCTAGCCCCCTGTCCTGCTAATCCCGTGCTCCATCCTTCTACCTCCCTTTTCCATCCGTCCTCTCTTCCCCTGCTTTAGGGGCTGCACCAATTACTCGCGACAGGTAAGGAAGATATGCCCCCAGTGGGGTACGATCGAAGACGAAGAGGGCGGGTACCGAGGGTTTGGGATATACGGGTTGAATGGCACGCGAACAGGTAAGAGCGAATAGGCTTGACATGGTTGTTGTTGTTGTTGTTGTGGCTGCTGTTGTTGTTGTTGTTGCTGCTGCTGCTGCTGCTGCTGTTGTTGTTGTTGTCGTCGTCGTCGTCGTCGTCGTCGTCGTCGTCGTCGTCGTCGTCGCCGTCGTCGTCGTCGTCGTCGTCGTTGTTGCTGTTTTATCGTTGTTGTTGCTGCTGTTTGTGACTGCGCCGGTGATGGTGGTTGTGATGATGATGGTGATGGTGATTGTGATGGTGATGGTGATTGTGATGAGGATCGTGGTGGTGGTGGCGGCGGCGAGGAGCATGAGGAGTATGAGGAGGAGGAGGCGGAGGAGGAGGCGGAAGAGGAGGAGGATGGGGAGGAGGAGGAGGAGGAGGCGGAGGAGGAGGAGGACGAGGAGGAGGAGGTGGAGGAGGAGAGGGATGATGATGCTGATGATGATGATGATGATGAGGAGGAGGAGGAGGAGGAGAAGGCGGATGACCAGTATAAAGCTACGACTCATTAATGATGTTAGGATGCGCCCTCCCTCTGAGCTTCCTCTTCATAGGCCCCATACAAGGGTTCATTTCCACTTGGGGAAGTGCCCCGTTGGGGGACAACCGTGTGAAAGTCTTGAAGCGTGCCAAAACACCATGCTCAGGACTTCAACGCCACGAGTCAACCTGACAGTAGCGTCTTGACGATCCTGAATGGTGCCAGAACGCCATTCCTGGAACTCCAACACCGCGAATCTGAGTAACTGTTGCGCCCTGAAAAATCTTCAATCGTTCCAAAAGGCCGTGTCTGGTACTTTCCATGAGAACCCAAAAACTCTTGCAACTTGTTGAAACGAATGTGCGCGGCGCCAAGGCGATAGCTAAATTTTAAAAAGGAGCCGCCCTGAATTCGTGAAGCTCTTGTTGCATTATTTACGATTATGCGGGGTCCTAAGGCGAGAGCCACATTTTGAAAAGGAACCGCCCTCAATTCGTGAAGCTCTTGTTGCATTTTTCAAACGTTTGTGCGCGAAGCTAAGGCGAGATTCAAAGTTTGAAAAGGAACCGTCGCTCTGGCAAAGTTTTAGAACGAGTGTTCGCGGCGCCACGGTGAGAGCCACATTTTGGGAGCCGCACGCCCTTCATTTGTGAAATTGTTGTCGGTTTTGAAGCTTGAGGCTCATAAGTGGTACCGAAGTCTCAGGCGACACGCCCGGCCCGCCCTTCTGGCAGGCCTCGGAATGCGACAGGGAGGAGTTATTCATACGGAGAAGGAGTGGACGAGGAGGAGGAGGAGGAGTGGGAGGAGGAGGATGGAGAGATAGGGGGCCGTAGAACGATGACGAAGGAGGGAGGGGAGAACGCAGGGATGATCATGACAAGGAGGAGGAGGGAGGGTGGGAGGAGGGAGGCAGGGAGAGAGGGAGGAAGGGAGGGAGGGAGAGAGGAAGGGAGATATGAATAAGAGATGAGGATGGAAGACGAATCGGCGATCGCCCCGCAGGCGCAGGGTTGCCCAGAAGAAGGAGGCCCAGGCGGAGGAGCTCCAGCGGATGCTGTTCTGCAAAGCCGACGAGGGCCGGCGCTTCTTCGACACCTTCGACCACGACAGGAGCGGCTCGATCGAGAGGAAGGAGCTCGAGAGCGCGCTGTTGCAGACCTTCATGGGGAGCCACCAGATGGACCACGGCACGGCCGCCTCCATCGTGGACAGCGTGTGGGACGCAGTCGACTGCGACGGCAGCGGCTCCATCTCGTTCCAGGAGTTCCAGCTCCTGCGCGACGCCCTGGTGGCGCAGCTGCGCCACGAGAGGGCGGCCAGGCCTGCCAGTGCGAGTCAGCCTGCGCGCCTGGTTTGCAAGCATGCGCGCTGCTCCCGTCCAAGATGTGCAGCCGGTGTACCTGTACACGACGTGTGCGGGCGAGCGAAGGGCCACCGACTATTTAGCTCAGGAATGTCTTACCCGATCCTATCTTCCGCGGGCGGCCTCCCGCCCCGAGCCGGCATGGCCGTTACAGACCATCGGCAAGTTGGGTGTGGCACAGAAAGCGGCCTCCGCGAGGAGCAGCAGGAGACAAAAAGCATCGCGCGCGGTCGGCCAGAGTGGAGGTGTGTGTGTGTGGGTGTGTAGATCAGCCCCATTCCCGGACACCCCGTGCCAATCATCCTTTCGCGCCACGGCAGCTCAGCAGACCCCCCTCTGGATTCGGGGCCCAAGCGGACCACGTCGCACGCTCCCTTCAGTACCCCACAACGCCCGTTGGCCCTCCTGGATCTCTTCGACCATGGCGTACATACCCTCTCAATTCGCACAGTCGGATGTCGAGCAGGGCAACGATCGCAAGAGGGTGCGCGATGCATGGTAGAGCAAGGCATGGCATGGCGTAGAAGAGCACGGAAGAGCGTAGCATGCCATAGCATGGCGAAGCATTGCGATGTGAAGCGTTGCGTCGCAAAGCGTTGCAACGCAAAGCACGGCATCGCACAGCGGCGCAGAATGCAACACTGCACAGCATGTCATGGCATGGCGCCGGCTTCGTTGGAGGGTAAGTGGATCGTCTTCGAGAGGTCTGGGCTGGTCTGGAGTCGTGGCTCCCATGTCTAGCTCCTTGGGCTCCCCGAAGAGCTCCACACACTGCAAGGCTGATGGAGAACACCCGCTGGCTCACCCGCTGGCTCTGCTTCCAACATCGCCTTCTCAAAGCAGACACGGGGCTCCCGCTTGATATTTCCTGAAAGGCGACGACGCCCCAAAGAAATCAACGAATCGACAGCGATATATATATATATATATATATATATGGTTGCCCCCCCAAGATCATACATTTCGTCTTAACTCAGCTTAGCTTAGCGCAGCGCAGCATTAGCATAGCATAGCATATCATAGCGCAGCATAGCATAGCATAGCATAGCGCAGCATATAATAGCATAGCTTAGCTTAGCATAGCACAGCGCAGCATCGCATCGCATATCATAGCATATCATAACATAGCATAGCGCAGCATAGCATTGCTACTACTACTACTACTACTACTACTGCTCCTACTACTACTACTACTACTAATACTACTACTACTACTACAATTACTATTACTACTACTACTACTACTACTACTACGACTACTACTACTACTACTACTACTACTACTACTACTACTACTACACCTACTACTACTACTACTACTGCTGCTACTACTACTACTACTACTTCTACGACTACTACTACACCCC